TCAGACAAAGTAGCAACGAAAATAATTTTGATTATTTGGAGTGTTTCTTGATTAAGTGTTTATGTTCTCAGTTCCCAGTTTAAAAATCACCAGATCACTAGCATTCTGTATTTATCATCCAAATACTTACACATACCATCTATCTTAAAATAGGCAATTATAATATCTTGCTTTCAGTGTAAGCTCTTTTTAATTTAAAGTTTACTATCTGGATGGTCTTGTTTTTAAGCTTTGGATTGCTAAAGAAAAAAATTACGACACTATTCGTTCTTTTTGTCCATCGTATATATGGACATCGTTCCTTTTAGGCCACGTGTACCGGCTCACTATCTAGTCTCCAATGTGGCGTAATATTTCCCGATGCACAAAAATAGTACTACTGACCTGAAGGCTGGCCTTTTGGTATTGTAGTGACATGTGGTCAGTGCCTGTGATCGACAGCGGCTGTAGCCTCGCATTCTGGCGTCATCATCCTTTTTACGTAGCACGTTGAGAACCACATGGTAAAGTATGATTTGCCGTTTATTGATTTGTTCAGTAGCCATCTCGGTACCTTCAGCGCGCACGAGACATTCGGCTTGGTGAGCAAAGCAGACTTACGGGGTCTAAACCCCCGGTTTCTTCAGATGCTTGCGAGGGAGTGGGTGCTCTGGGCATCCTCGAACTTTTACCTTGCCGGGTGAACTTACGGGGAGCTTATTCAGTTCCCTGAAGTCCGTGCGGCGGAAGGCTGTCGCGTACAGCTGGCCGGTACCGGTCCGCTTCTGCACGCGGCCAAACGGGTGGGAGGGGGGGACTCGGCCGGTAGACCGTGGTGCCGCTGAGCCGTGCGGAGGATCTGGCGGGCCGGCCCCGCGTGCACCCAGCACGCAGCCTCTTGTGGGGCCTGGGCTCCGCGTGAAGCGTCTGCTGGTGTGGCAGGGAGAGATGTCCGTGAGGCCCGTACAGCTGAACACACGCGTAGGAGATACACAAGTCTTGCGCTAACACAATTCCAGGACGTCAGAGAAATTAGTAAATGATGGACCATTGGCTCTTACAAGAGATGAGGATGTGGTACGTATGTATCCTTAGGAGACTCTCAGCGTTTTACTATAGAAAAATTCAACACCTACGAAACTAGAGGGAGGTCACATAGCTCTTTAAGGCAGAGACTGAGACACTGCGCGCGTGGGCTAGGTCACGCCCGGTCCTCCGGCTGGGGCGCCGGCTCGCTCCTTGGCTGGAAGGCCTGTGGAGAAGCTCTAGGAAATGCAGACCAGCAGCTTAAATGTCTGTGTGGATCGTGGTCTTGCAAAATGGCCTGCCTTCTGCGCACGGCTTCCATTTTTTTCACTTGGGGACGTTCCTCTGCAAGGTCGGCGTGACCCTCAGCTGGCACTGGCAGTGCACTTGGTAGAGGTACAGGGTTGCAGAACGTCGGGAGCACCCCTCTGGTTCAGCCTTCCCCAGCCTTAGCCGGACAGCCGTCGTCACCCAGGAGCCCTTACAATAGGCCGGCATCTGGGTCCCAGCTCCGCGGGGTCCGGTTGGATGGTTCTGGACTAAAGCCCGAGATGGCCCAGATTTGAACTGTCCCCAGGTGACGAGTACGGAAACTGCGTGTCCCCGACTGGTCTGCGGCAGCGTGAGCAGAAGCCCCGAGGAGAAGGCGCGCCGTGTCCTCATCAGCAGGCACGACGTGCGCTGCCCGCCTGTAGCGGACGCCCGTCCCGGGCCGACAGCGCATCGGCCGGCCCCAGCGTGTCGCGCGGGTCTCGGGTCTCCATCACTGTCGCGTCTCCCGCCCGTGCGCCCCGCACGTTACCGCCTTCCGCCGGGACAGCCGGCCTCGCGTTCCTGGGGCGAGAGCTGCTTGGTCGTGGCGCGCGGTCCCCTTTCTGTGTGGGCGCATCCGGTCCGCTGACGTCTGGTGGGGTCCTCGCGCACGCGCGTGGGGTCTCCTGCGGCTCTCTTCTCCCCCGGTGCCTTCGGCTTTTCTCTCGGGGACGTGCCAGCCTCCAAGGAGGCGCGCGGGAAGGTGCCTCGTCCTCCCCTCTCTTCCGGGAGAGGCAGCGTCACGGGCTGCCTTCTTCCTGAGGTAGGGACCGGGCTCACCGGTGAGTGCCTGTGGATTTTCCTGTGCGGGAGGGTTGGCATTACCAGTTCCATGTCGCCTCGGACTTTCGGGTCGTCTCGCTTCTTGAATCCGTTTTCGGCGTTTCTGACGCCATCCGTCCGTCTCGCCTCAGTGGCCTGACTTGGTGTAAAGGTGTTCATGATGTCCGCCTTCGCTTCTGCCGGGCCGGTGAGGTGAGTGGCTCTCTGCTCCTGAGTTTGGTGGTTTGTGCCCTGTCTCCCGTCTTGATCAGCCATCAGTTTCGTTGATCTCAAAAATGCAACTTTTGGTTTCAGTGATTTTTCTCTATTGTTTTTTTGTGTCTTATGCCATTGCTTTTTGCTCTGAGCTCACCGTTTTCTTCATTGTATTTTGGACTTGATTTCCTTTTTTCCTCTAGCTTCTTGAGGTAAAAGCTCAGGTTATTGATTTCAGATTTCTTTTCCTTTCTGATGTAACTGCTTTAGGTGCACTGTATTTTTATTCAGAATTTTTTTGGATCAGTTTTTTATTCCTATTTCATTTCTCAGCCTGGCTTCCCAGGGGCCAACCCTGTTGTCGCATAGCTTCGTGGTCGGCCAGTCAGTCATTCAGGAAGAGACTGGCCAGTGGGCCATGAGTGGGGGCGGCACTTGCCCGAGCCCACGTCAGCTCGTCCTTCCTGCCCGCCTCTCGGGCCCCGGCGCCCTCGGAGCGCACCGACCTAGGCCTTCAAGAGCCCTCGCGTTTCCGGGATCTCTCATTACATCTCTCCGATTACTGGCTGGTCTGCTGTCATTCCACAAGGGACCAGGGCTGACAGATTGGTGGGCGTGCCCCATTCCCTTCCCTCCAAGTTTTGCTGATTGTGCTGCTGTGGTTCCCCGGCCTACAGGCCGCTCCACGTCTGCCCTGTGGGCTGGAGGGGGGGTGGAGGTCCTGTCACTGTCACCGAGCAAAGACTGCCGGGCCCCACTCTGTCTTGTTTCACTTTCGTCAATTCCATGGACCTGAGGTGCTTGTTCTGGGCGGTTTTGTCCTGTTACAGATTTATCTTGGGGAAGGAGGTTGGCCAGTGTCTTCGTGCTGCCACAGCTAGAAGCCCTGCCACGTGTGACATTTCTCCTTTCGTCTTTCATGGGGCCCGATTACCTTGGGCAGTTTTTACAAAATCTCATCTGTACCTATCTCGCTCTAGCCCCTGTTCCTTCACTTTATTCCATTCAACTGGCCCTAAGAGAGAAGTTCAACATTTTTTTTTTAATTATTTATTATGAGAGTGAGCTAGCGTGAGTGGGGGAGGGGTGGAGAGAGAGGGAGAGAGAGAGAATCCCAAGCAGGTTCTGTGCCACCAGCACAGAGCCTGACGCAGGGGTCGAACCCGTGAAACTGTGAGATCATGACCTGAGCCGAAACCAGAGTCGGATGCCTACCTGACTGAGCCACCCAGGCGCCCCAAAGATAAGTTTGGGGGGGGGGGGAGAGAGAGAGAGAGGGGGAGAGAGAGAGACGTAGAACACAGGGACTGCAGCTGAGCTGACTTCCCAGGTCCTTCCAGAAGCACCGGGTGGCCAAGCAGTGTATGGGGGCAGGTGTGCTGGCCACAGGCCGCTGCACCCCCGTTGATCGGAGTGGTAGAGCCTCGCACCGATAGAAGTCTGAATTCTACTTTTCACATTCGAGCGTCCATTTCTGCTAAGATTCCGTCATTGAGCAGCTCAAGGTGGGGTTTCCTTGCCGTCCACACTTCCCTTCCTGGCCACCAGCCACTCTGTAGGAGACACGCTGCACTTAATACTGAGCGTAGCTGATAGGCACCATCCAGAGGTATTTTTTATGCCGCCGGGTGGTATCCTGAACGTAAGTACTGCAGCGTAAATGTGTTAAATAGCAAATGTTCGACTGAGACCGCTTTAAAGCTCTAATGGGCTTCGTTAAACGACTCGTGAGTTGGGCAGCGCCTCATCCGGCAAAGCAGAGAGGCTCCCACGGGGTGTACAAGAGGGAAGGTCTTCTCAGGAGGAGGGTGGAGCAAGAGGGTTACTGCTCAGGCTGGTGGCTTTCCCTTAGGAGTCTTCCCGTGCCAGTGACCCCACCTTCCTCTGGGGGAGAGGGGCCCTTGTGGCCTGCTCTTTAGCCCTGATGGAAAATTCCTGATGCACCAGTTAAAACTACATTTCTCAAGAAGGTTGAAACTGCAGTTAGATTAGGGAGTGAGCCCTGGTTTGGGAACTCGGTGTGAGTGACACCGTTTTGGGCCTGTGGTTTTCTTTTTTAACAAATACCACCATTTTGAAGGTCAAGAAACCAGGGAGCATTAGTAAAACTCAAAAGGTTAGATTTCTGGTTCTTGTGAAGCTCTCACTAGGGCCCGCGCGTCCCTCTGTGTGCGAGGCCAGGGGAGGTGCGGGTGTTGGGGGCGGGGGTGACCGGGGGCCAGTGCTCTGTCCCCAGGGGAGGGTGGGCGCTGGGCCACAGCCAGTGAGGTACGTCCCAAGGACAGGGGACGGTCCACTTGTCTTTGGTTTAAAGACAGGCTAAAAGTTTAAAACCACTGCCTGGGCAGACTGCCCATATTTTAATAACAGTGCCTTTGGAAATGGTAAATGTACGTTGAGTATGAGGTATTTTTAAGGTTAAGCACTATTGTGCTGAACGAAACAGCACATAGTGTAATCACAGACCTCTTGAGTGCATACGGTAATTAAAGATCTGCGTGTTATAAATTTCAAAAATATGATTGAAACCCAAACACTGTCAGATGAGAAATTTCCTCAGTGGCTGTAGTGAAATGACAGGTTTGGTTTCCCGCTTGTCTGAAACGGTTTTGCTCTCGGTTGAGGCTAGCAGAGACGGACTTCCCCGCCGCTGGGGAGGGCCTCCTGGCCACACACGTACTGACCAGCACGCTGCCTTGTTTCAGCAGGGAGGAGAGAGCGACGGCTTTTTTCACCCCGAGGGCCAGCCCCAGCGGCTCCCGCAGCCCCCAGAAGCCAGACAGCCGCCCGCCCGCAAGGTGACGCTGACCAAGGGGGCCCCCCAGCAGCCCCAGCACCCACCGGTGGGGGCCCACATGCACCCGTCCGGCCCTCCGGGCATCAAGAGCATCCAGGGAGTCCATCCTGCCAAGAAGGTACTGCCTGTGACCTAGGCTGCGCCCCGGGAGCGTGGCCGTCCTGCTGGTTCGAACGGTTCCCGTTTGGACGGTTCTCAGATAGGGGTGCCCGGTGCACGGGAGGGGGGGTGCAGATACATCAGTAAGCGAGCCGTCATTTCCTTCATTCTGGCTTTGAAAGCTCACGTGTTCACAGGAGCACTTTTCCTCTTCTGACTTTAAGGGGACAGCTTGGGGAAAGTCCCTGCAGCCGGGGGCGTGGTTTTCTGTGGCTCTGACCCCTGTGTCCGCAGACCCCAGTCCAGTACGATTCCTTCCCCTCTTACCGGCTCTCCACACTCCACAGACAGAGAGCCAGGCATCTGCTCACACACCTCCTTCTCATTAGCCCAGTGCATGAGTGGGAAAGTGAGGCCTCGGGGGGGGGGGGGGCCGCCCGACCTGAAGAAGGTGGCCCTGACCCTGGTTCTGACACACACTGTTGGACAGGAGATGAGGACATCCGATATGCCTTCGGGGTAGGGGTGGGAGTGCATGTTCTCCTTTTGTGCACTGAGTCTAAAATCTTCCCTAGGAGAAGAGTGTCCGCCTTGTCCTGTCCTGTCCTGTCCCCCATGGTAGGGTGCCCTCCCTTGGATGGTAGGGGAGCTGTCTCTAGCTTCCCCAAAGCCTGACAGTAAAGTCCCCTCTCTCCTCCCTTTTGGTGCATAAGCCAGATGCCCCTCGAATGATGAAGTTATGTGAGGGAGGAAGCAGGGCAGCAACACCTGCTTTGGGTTTCTTCTAGAAAGCTCCAGAGTCCACTAGCTCATCTATCTGTTTGTCTTGCTGCTGACCCAGGTAGTAATAGTATCAACATGAAGGCCGTTCTGGGTCTGTTACCTTGTCTGCATTATCTCGTAAGCACCTTGTGATGTAGGAGCAAATAAGATTATTCCCTTTGCAACAGAAGACGTGTGCAGACATGAAGTCTTCTCTTTGGTCTTGGAAGGTCGCTCCAGTCTAAACTGGCTTCGGTCAGGTGCAGTCCCTGGATACAGGAGGAGAGGGGCCTTAGAGGCCCCGTCCCCCACGTACGCGTGCGCTTGAGTGAGCCCTCGAGTTTCTTTGTCTGAAACCTCTGTCTGCTCTGCTATGAAGGGAGGACAGTAGCGTTTCCTGGCTCATTTGGGCTCTTGGGTGGATTTCATGAGAAGTTGCATGTAAAAAGGATGGTGCCTGGTGGATCAGTAAGCGTTTGGTAAAGGATATTTTGCTGATGTTATAATTTATTATTTTTTAAAATGTTTATTTATTTTGAGAGAGCACACAGGGGTACGCGAGCAGGGGAGCAGCAGAGAGAGAGAGAATCCCGAGCAGACTTCACGCTCGGCGCATGGTGTGACTCGGGGCTCGATACCACGAAGCGTGAGATCACTGCACGAGCCGAAGTCAGGAGTCGGACCACCAGTTTGTTCTCCATAGTTAAGAGTCTGGGGGTATTTGGTCTCTTTTTTTTCTTTGTTGCGACTTGTTTTTTAAATTCCACATCTGAATGAAATTGAATGGTGTTTGTCTTTCTTTGACTTGCTTCACTTAGCAGAATACTCTCTAGCTCCATCCATGTTGTTGCAGATGGCAAGGTTTCATTCCTTTCGATGCCCGAGTAATATTCCGTGGTATGTATACACACCACACGTTCTTTACCCGTCACTTGGGCTGCTGCCACAGTCCAGCTGTTGTGAACAAGGCTGCAGTAATAAACATTGGGGTGCGTGTATCCCCTCGACTTCGTGTTTTTGTGTTCTTCGGGTAAATACCCAGTAGTGCTAAATCCTAAGGTCGTTCTACTTTAACTTCTTGAGGACCTTCCGTACTGCTCTCCACGGTGGCTGCAGCGGTTTGCGTGCCCACCGACAGTGCACGAGGGTTTCTTTTACTCCGTGTCCTCGCCAACACCCGTTGTTTCTTGAGGTTTTTTTCTTTAGCCATCGGACAGGTGTGAGGTCGCGTCTCATTGTGGGTTTGATTTGTATTTCCCTGATGGTGAGTGACATTGAGCATCTTTTCGTGTGTATGTCGTCTTTGGAGAAATGTCTGTTCGTGTCTTGTGTCTTTTTTAATTGCGTGATTTGTTTTTTGGGTGTTGAGTTGTATCAGTTCCTTATATATTTTGGATGCTAACCCTTTATCAGGTAAGTCATTTGCAAATATCTTCTCCCATTCTGTAGGTTGCCTTTTTAGTTTTATTGATCGTTTCCTTCGCTGTGCAGAAAAATTGTATTTTGATGTAGTCCCAATAGTTTATTTTCGCGTTTGTTTCCCTTGACTCAGGAGACCTATCTAGAAAGATGTTGTTATGGCCGATGTCCGAGAATTACTGTCTGCGCTCTCTTGAAGGATTTTTATGGTTTCGGGTCTCACGTTCAGGTCCTTAGTCCGTTTGGAGTTTATTGTCGTGTGTGGTGTAAGAACATGGTCCAGTTTCAATCTTCTGCATGTGGCTGTCCGGTTTTCCCAGCGCCATTTGTTGAAGAGACTGTCTTTTCCCCATTGTATTTTCTTTCCTGCTTTGTCGAAGATGAGTTGACCACATACTTGCGGGTTTATTTCTGGATTTTCTTTTCTGTTCCATTGATCTGTGTGTCTGTTTTTGTGCCAGTGCTTCGGTGTTTTGATGACTACAGCTTTGGAGTGAATCTTGAAATCTGGGCTTATGATACCTCCTCCAGCTTTGCTTTTCCTTCTCAAGGTTGCTTTGGCTGGGGGTCTTTGGAGGTTCTGTACAAATTTTAGGATTGTTTGTCCTAGTTCTGTGACAGATGCTGTTGGTTTTTCCACAGGGATTGCATTAACTGTGTAGATTGCTTTGGGTGGTGTAGAGTCTTGAACCATGCTTGTCCTTCCAGCCCATGAGCGTGGGATATCTTGTTTCTTTGTGTCTCTGGTTTCTTTATCAGTTTTAAGGTTTTCAGACCACGTGTCCTTCATCTCTTTGTTAACTTTATTCCTGGGTCATCATTTCTGGTGCAGCTGTAAATGGGACTGATTCCTTCATTTCTCTTTCTGCCTTCTCTTTCTTCTCTTTCTCTTTCTGATTCCGCTTCATTATTGGTGTACAGAAATACAGCAGATTTCTGCACGTTGATTTTGTATCCATCGACTTTGCCGAACTCATTTATCAGGTCCAGCAGTTTTTTGGTGGAGTCTTTCGGGTTTTCCATGGAGAGTGTCATGTCGTCTGCAGATAGTGAGTTTCAGTTCTCTCTCAACCGATTTGGATGCCTTTTATTTGTGTTGTCTGATAGCTGTGGCCAGGACCTCCAGTACTATGTTGAATAACAGCGGAGAGTGGACATCCCTGTCTTGTTCTTGACCTTGGGGGAAAGGCTCCCACCAATTCCCTGTTGACGGTGATGTCAGCTGTGGGGTTTTGTTTGATATAAGGCGTTTATTATGTTGAGGTTTGTTCCCTCTAAACATACCCTCAACAGGGTTGTGTTGAGGGTTTTTATCGTGAATGGATGCTGTACTTTGTCACATGCTTTGTCTGCATCTGTTGAAGTGATCGTATGGTTTGCATCCTCTCTCTTGTTGGTGTGATTTACGCGCAGCCTTCGATGTGTGTTTTCCAGTGTGACTCTGAAATATCCTTTTGTACTTTTCAAACACTCACTTCACGGGAGGACGTTCGCCACCGTCTGCAGAGTGTTAAGAAATGTGGTTTTGGATGCATTTACCTTCTTCTCCGGCCTTTTCTATGATGGAACAGGGGGTCATTTTTGCTCCTTTGTACCCAGACTCTAGGGCAGAATTTGGGGAGGCTGTCTGGAAACCCTGGTACTGTTCACTCCCACCCAGCCGCCTGCATTTCACTGCTGCCCTGAACGGGAGACGCTTCATCGAATTCTCTAGCTGGAAAACAGCAGAGGGGCGCCTGGGGGGCTCAGTCGGTCGAGCGTCTGACTTCAGCTCAGCTCGTGATCTCACGGTTCGTTGGGTTCAAGCCCCGCGTCAGGCTCTGTACTGACAGCTCGGAGCCTGGATCCTGCTTGGAATCCTCTGTCTCCTTTTCTCTCTGCCCCTCCCCCTGTTCGTGCTCTTTCTCTCTTTCAAAAATAAACATTTAAAAAAAAAATGAAAAAGAAAATACCAGAAAGATCAGCTGCGTCCTCTTACTTAAAAGGCCTTGGAATCGTTGGAATAGTGGTTTTGAACCTTTGGTGACTTAAAAAACTGCTAAGGCCTGGGCCCTTCTGTAGACATGTGACGACTTAACGTGGGTGGGAGTGAGCGCGCGGGCATTGCTGTGGCTTGGATTTTTTTTGGTGTTTGTCGTAAAAGCCACGTAGACGATTGTGATGTGCAGCAGCTGGGAAGCGACCCCTGCCGACTCTCGCTGGCCCCCTGCCACAGAACCCGCCTTTCGGGTCCTCGGGGTGCCACTCGTCATCCCGAGGGGACTTGGGGGGCGTAACGTGGCTTGTGGTGGCACCGGTCCCCGCTGGCGTGGCCTGGAGTACGCCGGGAGAAATTTGGGCTCTTGGGCTGTTATAACCAGGCCCAAATGAGTGTGTCAGCCCCTCTGATCTTGCCGCTTTGTCTCCGGCACGGTGGCTACACGGGAAGCTACCCGTCCGTGCTCGCTGCCGAGATGCGGTTGGACTTGGATGCTCCCGTTTTCTTCCTTTGCCTCCATCCAGACCCGCCGGCTATTCTTTCAGTGGGACACGGAACCCTGCGGACAGTGGATGGAAACCACAGAAAATCCCGTAGCTCGTGGTGCATTTTAATGGATTCCGAGTCGTTTGCTCACTTTTATGACCCTAGTAGCTATTAAAAACAACAGACCGGAGCTTAGAAGTCAAACGGTTAACTCTTGTCGTTGGCAGGTTGTCACGCACGGGAGAGGCCGAGGAGTGGCGGGGGCTGTGGGCCGGGGCCGCCTGATGCCAAACAAGCAGAACCTCCGGGTGGTGGAGTGTAAGCCGCAGCCCTGTGTCGTGTCCGTTGAAGGGCTCTCTTCGTCCACCACTGACGCCCAGCTGAAGAACCTACTGATGTCGGTCGGACCCATCCAGGTGGGTGTCCTGGGGCCTCTCCCAGGACTCCGATTCCCTTTGTGTTGGTTACTTCGTGTTAAAATAATACGTTTGAAAAGACACACACCTGTTTTATCCATTTTGCATACTTGAGATCGGAACTTTTGCCGTAGATTATTTGGCAATTTTCGGGTGCTCCGTCGTGGAATTTAGGAAATAATTTTGCCAGCTGAACAAATTATCTTCTGGAATTCTTCTACTGTCCTCACATTCACGTATGCTCCTGAACATATATACTTTTTGTTCTGTCACACACTTGTGTTTATGATATTTAGAAATTTTTAAAGCATTCAACCTTCCTGACCTTGATTTCCAGAAACAGCACATGTGTTAACAGCTGTGAAACTTGTTTTAGATTTTATGAACATGAAATAATGTAGACTATATTTTGATCTCGTTATTTTGTATTTTTTTAATCGTTTGTTTATTTAGAAAGATTGGGGGTGGGGGGACAGAGAGGGCGAGAGACGATCCCCAGCAGGCTCCACCCTGTCAGCACAGAGCCCTGATGCGGGGCTTGACCTCATAAACCATGAGATCGTGACCTGAGCTGAGATCAAGAGTCGGATGCTCAACAGACTGAGTCACCCGGGTGCCCCAGTCTCTTTAAAGTAAGTCGGTTCTAAATGCTTTCAAGTTCCTGCTGAGCCGGTCGCACATAGGTCTCCGGTTGTGCTGTAAACCGAAGTCTCCATTCAGATCCCTGATCTCTGCTGCTTCTCCTCAAGGCCTGCAGGTAAACCAGCAGAGAAGTGGGTTGACCTGGTTTTCCTTCGGCCGAGGGTTTCCAGAGCCCTGTATCGGACCTTTCCCACCAGCACCTCCCCTCCCCCCTCCCCCTCCCCAGCGCCATCGGCACCACGTCAGACCCCGCGCAGGCAGGATGTAGGGCGTGAATGTCGGGTTTCTGCGTACTTGCTTTCAGGATATGTTCCAGTCTCTTGCTGCGTGAGCGAGCAGGGGGACATTTTCAGACTAGAGGTGATACAAATAATTTTCAACAGGTCTTAAGTGTCTGATGTTGAGAATTATTAAATGTGAGGAGTAGGTGAAAGCCCTTCCAGAAAGCACCCTGTTCTCGAGGTATCGTGACTTCCACCGTCAGTTTGGGATTTCTAGTGTTTCTTTGTGTGTCGTAGTGGAATGTGAGCCAGAAACTCGGGCTTCTGTTTTCAGTGCCGTCCTTACTCCGCAGTGTGGCCAGAGACCCTTGTCACTTACCGGAGGCGTCAGCACTGCGCTCATGGATGGTCCTTCCAGACCGTTAATGACTAATTTGCAGGAACAGACTGACCGGAGAGTTCAGATGCATGAAAATGTGCTTAAGCTGGTGTGAGGCTCTCCCACCAATGGTGGTTGAGAATTTGGGGTCCAGGTGCAGGGTCAGGCAGGGCGTCCAGATGTAACAGAGCAGAGCCTGACCTGTGGGATCTGAGGGCCGGCGTTGTCCGGGAGGCTCGGGCTGTGGTCTCACTGCCCCGGTCTCCGCGTGGGCCGGGAGTGATGGCACTGTGCTCTCCACGTGTGCCCGTCAGCATTTGTGGCTTTGCTTCCTCACACGGAGTCTCGATCGTTCTCTGGAGTGTCCTTGACTAGGATGTGGTTTTCAGGACCCATGTCTGAGCAGTGGTGCTATTTGCCTCTCCTCACGCTGAAGGGGGGGGGGGGCGGTGGCTGCACCACAAAAATCAGCTTGGAGCTGATCTGCATTTGGGGCTTATAGTCTCTCGAATGGATTTTTTTTCTGTTCTGAAAAGGATTCGAGATGATTATGTTACGAAGTTTGATTGTGGGAAGTAAAGCCAGACCAAAACGGCGTTGGATTATTTGATGCTTTGTTTTAATTCGAAAGTTAGAGAAGTAGGAAGATGAGAGTGAACTTTCTAGGTTACGTCAGTCACTCTTACAGTGGGGTCTCTGGAAGGTGAAGCCCCCGGTGCCCCTGGGAACTGGCTGTGGCAGGCTGGGCTTCGCACCCGCATGAGGCCCATCCCTTCCCCTGGGGACCAAAGCCGGGTGCCCTCCTCTTGCTCGTCTTTATCCCAGAGGATGCTTTTGAGTGGGCCTGTACGATGTTTAGATACCACGTTCACAGAATGCCAAGTTTCTTACTGAAAAACTAGTATAACAAGCATCTGCCGGTGTTTGGAAGCTAAAGAACGATACTGGTAAGTATACATTTTAAGAAGATGTTTGTAACGAGAACTGGTTATGGTTTAAACTTGGGTGGGATGGTGCCAGGTAGCCCCGGCCTCCTGTGGTCCTGACGGGAGAAGCTTCTATGTGCGGTGGACTGTGGCTCCACCTCGCGTCCACTCGGTGTAATAGCAGGTGGTGCTGTCTAGAGTAGGAAGGTCCCCTGTTTCTCTGGGCTTTTAAATTAGACTCCTAACCGCATGTGACCTCTGCTCCTTAAGCTGTGGAATCCGAGAGGCTTTCTCAGTGTGGCTCTCGGATTAGCATGTTATTCCCTTCAATGGTACTCACAAGGCTCTCTAGAAAGTCCGTGTTAAAGACCTTAATCAACTCGCTATTTCCAGAATGAGGAACAACGTGCAGATCTTGTAGAAGCGTGACAACCGGAAGGCAGCAGTGGCGTGGGAAGTGCGGTAGTGGGTCCCAGAATCTTGGGGGAGGTGGCGCGTGGCAGCCACAGCCGCAGCATTCCACTCGTGAGCGGGTCCGAGAGACGCGTCTGCCTGGACCCCAGCCCCCGCGAGAAGAGAGCCCGGTCACTGCCAGGCACGCGTGCCCTGTGGGCTGGCGGACACACGTTCCTGCAGCAGTGACCCTGACCTCCCACTCTGTCCTGAGAAACAGAAGCCAAGGTAGCTCTTAGATCAGGAAGTAAGGGAGTTAGGACCTCCGTGGCTTTTTTGTGTAATTGCTTTTAGTTCCCCGTTTGCTAGATTGTGCCTCAAATTGTGCTAAGAAGAAAGATTCACTACCCCGTAAATAAACGTCATGGTGTAAAAACACAAAAGCCGTTTCCTCACAAAGGCACGAGGTTTGAGATCGCTCAGTGAGAGTATGACTGTCCCCTGTCGTGACCCTCCCTGAGGATGAGGCCGGCCAGCGCTGGCTTGTGCCCACACGTACCCGGCACTGCGCTGTCTCCACCCCCTCCGTCACTCCCGTGTCCTGGCGGTGCCCCGGCTGGGGCCAGAGGGGGAGCGCGAGCCATGGGTGTCCTTTGCGGCACAGCCGGGCTGTTAGCGGGGCTCTCTTCTTCGTCTCGAGTCTAGGCCTTTCTGTCGGGCTCTCCCCACCCGCCGCCTTGTAACTCTCCCGGTGCCCGGCCTGAGCAGGCTGGAGGAGACGCATGGCCTCCTCGTCCCCCACGGGGTGGCAGGTGCAAGGGGTGTCTGCCTGCCCCCAGACGCTGCACTTCGGGGCGGCGGGTGTCGCAGGATGGCGTGGTTGAGTCCCCGTGGGCGGTGTGCGAGAGCGTGAGCCGCTGTGAAGGAGCGTCCTGTTCCGACCCGGCCGCAAGGCCCGGCTGGTGTAGCCAACAGAGTTGGAATCTCAGGTCGGTGGTTCTGAAGTTCAGGACATCGGGGGAGAAGACACGGGTGTGACCACGTGATCTGAAGCCACGATGGAAAGACTGCTTACTAGGGGCCCTCGTCAAGGTCCAGAGAACGCAGCCGGCAGTAACGCCCACGGAAAGAGGACTTCGGGATGGCAGTGTGACGGCACTGGGGCTCCCCGGGGGGGCCAGCGGGAGGGAAGCCGGCCAGTGCGGGGAGCGGCGGGGCTCTCAGCACGGAGAGTGGGCACGCGGGGCCCTGGGGAAAAGCGCAGCGCGGGCACTGGACCGAACCCGTGGCGGCAGGTGCAGCTGTGAGAGGGTCCTGCGAGGAGCTGGGTGTCGGGCCTGCCGTGTGGCGCACGCTGCTGCCACTTGCCTCTTGCTGCCGCTTGCCTCTTGGGGCCCCTGTGCCTTGTGGGGACACCGGTCTGCCGCCGACCGGGGGCTCTGGGAGCTGCCTCGGTGGGGCCACCCCGGCCGTGTGAGTCACGGCTATGGTGGGGCCTGGGGGGACGCGCTCCTCGTGACCCGTCGGTGGGGCTGCTCTCAGATAGCACCGCTGTGTCTCACATTGACCGTCCTGTTCTTGGCAGAAGGCACTTCCCGCGGGTGCTAAGAGCGACCGGCCGGAGGGGCGGGACGCCGACACAGATCTTCGGGGCTACGCAACCCTGTTGGCGTCCCCGTGACATTTTGGTTGATCTGAGTTGGCGTCCCCGCGACGTGGTAGTTGATCTGAGCCTGTGGGAGAAGAGGCAGGGTGCCGTGCACACGGACACCCTCCCGGGATGAGACCGCAGGCTGTCGGAGGCCGGGCCGGAGGGGGCTGCAGGGCGTCCGAGCAGGCGGCTCGCAGCCGAGGGTTTCGTCTTGCGTTTTGCTACGTGGAGGAGCGCGGTCACTAGCCGTCAGGACGTGCGGGTGTCTCTCCCCTCTGAAAACGGAAGCGCGTCAGGCCGGAAGTTGGTGCCTTGGCCTTGCCCCCTGCGTGCCAGGGGGGGCGCCTGCGGGAGAGGCAGCCGCGGCAGCAGAGCGAGCGTGGGCCCGGAGACGCGGTGCAGCTTCCGGTTTGCTCTGGCCCAGCCGGTGTCTGTGCGGGGCTGCGCCGCTAGCTCGTGCGAGTGTGGCTCTGCACCGTGGAAGCCGGGGAGCACGAGGCTTCCGGCTTCCGGCTTCCGGCGCACAGTGCCCACCCCTCTGCTCCCAGTAACGAAATCCTGGAGCTCTCGTTTTCATAGGTCAGAAATGGCGGGGTAGGGACAGTTTCTGCAATTCAGTCTTCTGCCTAGAAGACATCGTTTGGTTTTTGGAAGAAGGTACGAAAATGTAAATGAAGGACATAACCAGGAAGATTTTAGGAGCGTGTTCTCATCGCTGGTGTTGACTGCTTGAGCTCCAGGCCTTTCCCCGTGAGGAATTGGCACGGGGAAGTTTCCCCGTGAGGAGTTGCCGTCTCGTCCGGCACCTCCTCAGACCGAGGTCTAAACTGCTTAGGTCCCAGTAAGTTCTGTTGCATCAGGCGTTTTACCGTTTTATGTGGTAAGTGGTAAAAATGAAGCTCCGTGCCTTCCTTCCACATTGCGAAGTCACCCAGAGGAAATCGCCCTAGATACCTGGAAACCTGTTTTTCTGAAAACAAACAAACAAAACCGTGGTATTTTCAGAAACCCAGATTCCATGTGTGAATTGTACGGTATGAATAATTATCTGCAGTAGCATCAGCAATTAGTTTTTTCCTGTCTGTTCCTAAAGAACACGTCGTATTTTTAGACAAGGTAGATTTGGGGAAGTTGTTGGGATTCTTGCCTGAGGTCCGCCGCGGTGCCGGCAGCAGCCACCAGGGGGCGCGCACCAGTGAGCGGCGTGGCTGCGGGGCTGCAGCGGGGGTGGGGGCACAGACAGGACCAGAGAGCGGGGCCTGGCAGCGGGCCCCCTGCAGGTGCCCAGGGCTGCCTGTGCTCTGAGCGGATGCTTTGGAACCCATCGCAGGGTGCGGCACAGAACAGGCACGAGCGGGTGGAGGAGGCTGGCAGCTCGGGAGAGAAAGTGGGTCTCTGTGCAGGACTTGTAGGGAGTCCCCCGGGCCAGAGGGGCCACAGTGCCGAGCGCGTCTCCAGGGAAGAGAAGTCCCCTGCGTTCATTCCAGACCAACTACGGCGTTTTGCCAGTGCTCTTAACCCTAGGTGGAACCCTCTAGCAAACCCTGCTTCTGCTTTTATACCCCAGATGAGAGCAGTCTCGTGTTGTCCCGAGCTTGCCGCCTGTGCTCCTGCTGGGTTGGGGGTCCCCACCACCCGCCTGCTGCTCCTTGGCCGAGTGGTCCGCGTGCTCACCTTCCCACCACATCATTTGGAGACTTGAGACCGTTCATTTCTTTGTAAACACTGAAAGGTGACTTTTGGGAAAGTGGGTGTTCCACAGAGCTCTCCTAGTTGTGTTGACTGATAGATGTCGTGTGGGTATTAAAACGGAGACTTCTCACTTCGCGTACGGTATGTCTTTTTGAGTATTTTTGTGTTCCCACCGTAGATCTTTGATCAGTGCTTTACAATTAAACAGCCACATATGCCGCCACTTTTCAGGGTCCCGTGCCTCCATCAGCTGTGTTTTCCGGCTGTCCTGCTTCGCTAGACAGCATCTAGACACGGTGGGTGGCGGCCCCCGCGTCGTGTCCTGCTGTGAGCGGGGTCCCGCCTTGGCCGCTACGCGCCTCCCTCTCAGCAGAGGCTGCTGCCTGCACGGCGCCCGGACGGCGCGCAGGACTGCGTGCGGCACCGCAGGCTTGAGAACGATTGGGCCCTTGAGAGTGGGACTGGCTGAGAGACCACACAGGTCTCCTCCTCTGACCTGGGCCTCCCGGATCCTCAGATCCCAAACCCCAAGGCCTCAGGGCACGCTGGGGGACCACGTGTGAGTCCCCTCTGTCCAGCACCTTCCTTTCAGACGTGTAAGATTCTCTCTTCACTCGATGGATCCTTTCTGTCTGTCTTCTTCACGAAAGGGTGTGGTTTTCAGCGCAAAGAGTAGTGGCCTCTGGAATGGTTGCCTTGGCTCCAAAGGTTTCATTTAAGATGTCACTTAGTAATCGAGTGTCTAAGTACAAAGTGTGATCAGACTGTGCTGACAGCCGCCACTGGCGAAGCTGTCCCTTGCTGTGGGTAGCTGGAGGTGTGAAAGCCTCCTTGGTTTACCCCAGTGGTAATTGTGGGGTCCCCCTGCAAAACAGCAGTTTCCTCCTGTGTGATGTAATACTGCTTTAAAAAAAAAAAAAATCAGTGAGGGTCCCATAGAAAATTGTGTGGCAGGAAGGTGTGCAGACGGGGGGTGACTCTCCAGAAGTGTGTGTCATTGGGCCTCACAGGGAGGGTTGAGGGAGGAGATGGAGTGACTCGTGTGGCCAGATGATGCCAGATCCTGACACCAGGCTGGTGGGTGGCGGGGGGGTACACTCATGGGAATGGCTTTTGGGGACAGATTCTCTGGATCAGGGAGGAAAAATTGCTGGGGAGATAGTTTCCTTTAGTGATCCAAGTGTCAGCCTGGACTCGTATTTTGTATTCAAGCTGATGTATAAATATGCTGGGTTTTGTTTTAAGCGTATACAACATGATATTGAAGCGTTTCTCAGGGCGCCTGGGTGGCTCAGCGGGTTGAGCATCTATCTTGATTTGGGTTCAGTTCATGATCTCAGGGCTGTGGGATCAGGTCCCGCCTCTGGCTTTGTGCCGAGCGTGGAGTCTGCTCAAGATTCTTTCTCCCTCTGCCCCTCTCCCCCCTCTCACTCTCTAAAATTAAAAAAAAAAAAAAAATTTTTTTTTTAAATATTTCTCTGTTGGGGCGCCTGAGTGGCGCAGTCGGTTAAGCGTCCGACTTCAGCCAGGTCACGATCTCGCGGTCCATGAGTTCGAGCCCCGCGTCGGGCTCTGGGCTGATGGCTCAGAGCCTGGAGCCTGTTTCCGATTCTGTGTCTCCCTCTCTCTCTGCCCCTCCCCCGTTCATGCTCTGTCTCTCTCTGTCCCAAAAAAAATAAATAAAAAACGTTGAAAAAAAAAATTTAAATATTTCTCTGTTTTCTTCCCTCTAGAGTTTACAGATGCTTCCCCAGCAACGGAAAGCCATAGCTAAGTTCAAGGAACCGGCTCATGCGTTAGCATTTCAGCAGAAATTCCACAGGTAGCCTGTATATTCCGTGGTCGGGGTGACGGTGGGAGCGGGCGGGAGAGCCTCCCCGCTGTGGTTTGCTCTCCAGCAAAGCAGCCGTGGTTTCACACGTGTGCGCGCCCACCTGCCGTGGTAGAAACGCGCCAGTAATGCGTGCCGAGCGCAGACAGCGTGCCCTTCCCCTCGTGCAGTGTGGGGCATTGGCTCCCGGGTTTTGCGTTGATCTCTGTCTGCGTTTTTATGGAGTTGTCATCCGTCGGGACCTACCGTGGTAGTTTGCCCATACCTTGGTGACCTGACCGCTCATCTGTGGAGTTCGGTCGGCGTTGACTATTTCTTTCCCTCTCCGCAGGCACATGATAGATTTGTCCCACATAAACGTGGCCCTGATCGTTGAGTGATCTCTAGCAGGAGACGCTGACCCGACACGGAACACTCGCTGTGGGATTTCTTCAGGGAAGCCGCAGCGCACACCCCCACGAGCACGGCCTCTCCGCGCACAGTCTTGCGTAACTGTTGTCCGGAGAGCGGCTGGCCCGGCGTGGACTCCAGCAGAGCCGGACTTGGGGACGTGGCGGCCTGGGCTCCGGTGTTACACGCTCCCCGTTCTGTTGTCACCACAGAGAACTACACTTTCCGGTTTCTTTTGTTTTCAAAGTGCTTACGATGCATGTAGCCCTTGTTCTTCGTGATCGTGCTGTGTGACCGATCACAGTGACTTAGGTTCAGGAAGGGACGTTAGCGCCACAAATTCTGAGTAGTTTCCACAGCAAAGAACACTTGATAATGGTTGCACCCATCTTCAGTGCAGGCTAGACAAGGGTCTTCCCAGCCGAGCGGAACCGCGCTGTCCTCTCAGAAAGCCCTCACAAGGCTCTTGGAAGCACGTAGATTAAAATTTGGGTGATGGTGACGGGCAGCCGCGTGTCCTGGCAAGCAGGACGTGAGGGCGGTTGGGAGCGATGCCCATTGTGTGGCGGATTCTGCTTCTTGTAAATACTCCAGAAGCACCAGCTGCGTGTTCCTAGTTGCGGAGGGGACTCCGCACCCCTCCACTCTTCCCCAGTAAGGCACTGGTCCTGGCAGGCCCCGCCGTGTCTCCCTGGGCCTAGAGAGGGCGCCTGTGGCGCCGTCACCCTGCAGCCCTTCCAGAGCCCTGCCAGGTGGGTCGTGTTGCACATCTACCCCGCGGGGCAGAGGCAGGGGGACTCGGCCCGGCCCCGTGTGGTTTGTTCCTCTTTGTAAATGTGGCCCGAAGCAGCATATTCGTGTCCCTGGCTCTGTGACATACAACATTCTTCGGGAACTTGGTTATCATTGCTCTGATTAACTTTTTTTTTTTTTTTTTTTTTTTTTGAAGGCCTTTTGAGTAGGGCTGTGCTGCCCTTGAGCAGAGCCAGGAGCAAGGTGGCCTATGTGCTGGCGAGTTGCCCCTCGTGGGGTGTGGTGTGAGGGATGGCTGTCCTCCCCAGACCGTGCAGCCCAAAGTGAAATTGAAATGTGTTCATGTGGCCCCGAACCTGCTTGAGGAGTTCTGGGTAGGCTCGTTTAGGTGAGACTTTTCCTTCCCGTAAAGCAACGTTTAGTACAGTTCATTCCGGTCAAGTCTTTAAAAAAGTGCCTTATTGTATTTCTGCTCAAGAACGAGTTTCACCATTTGGGGTTTATACTAACATGGACCTGAACTGTTTGAGCAAGTAACAGATACCAAGGCATACTCAGACTTTTTAGCTGTGTTTTATACCTAAGATTTCACGGCAGGTTTACTAGTAGAATTAGAGGAAATAGGAGCCTGCCGCCTCCAGATGCCACCGGTCAGCCCTGCGGGGACCAGCTCGAAGCCCCAGAGCCCCCGCCGCCAGGCACCCTCCCTCCTCTGAGCCTTCGCGCGGGGGCTGGGACCCAGGCCGCGTGAGCCTGTGTCGTGTTTGCACAGGTGAAATTTTATATTTTTGCAACTTCAGTTGCCCGAACTGCAGGGGAGCGTTCAGACCCTGTGAGGCTTTCTGTGGCGAGGGTTCTAAGTGGCATCCCGCGGTAGGAGGAGGCCTGGAGGATGAAGGTGGGTGTTGGCGGCTGCTTTTCAGAAGGTGTAGGTGCCAGGAAGCGAACAGGCACTCCCAGGGTGCACCCCCCAGCTGAGGCGCCTGGCCGCCTTGTTCCAGAAAGCCCCTGACTCAGCTGCGCCAGGCCTGCCGTGGTGCTCCAGGGGAGGGTCCGCACAGTCCGTGCCCTGTCCCTACCCTCGGTCGACACGCACGTCCTGTCCGCTGTTGTCACAGGGAGAGACGGATGTGTTCGTGTGTTTAAAAGCGTAGTTTATTTGGCTCAGTCCACAGAGAGCTGCGTTGAAGCAACGAGCTTGACAGCCTGCTAGTTACGACACATCCAGACCCCTTGCTGGTGCCGGGCAGTGGGAAGGCTTTCAGTTGACGGACTTGCTTTTTATCACCAAGAACCAACTGATGCAATAAGATGAGCTTAAAAATTTTTTACCATTTTCTGAAATAGTCTGAGTGTGCCGTATTGTCTCTGGAAAGTAGGCACATAACAAAGAGCTTTTTCCCTAGTTAGCGATGAGAAGTCATCAGTCCTGCGTGGGCACCGCTGTTCAAGACCTGGTGGTGACATTAAGGTCTGCTTTCGGCCTTGTCCGAGGACGATACGGGCGCCATGGGACATGTGTGTCTGTTAACTGTCTACACACGTGAGCCTTCTCTTGATGTGGTGTTCTTGAAAGCCTTTGGCCACGGGGAGCTGGGCCTTCGTAAAGCCCTGGTTAGAATGGCCCCGTGTGCCCGGCCGTTGGCAGTGGCCGCAGTTCGTGCCGGCCGGCCCGGAGCAGAGGCTTGGTTTCCTTAAAGGGAGCTGCGGAAGGGAAAGAAGCAGAATTAGAAAGTAACGTTATTTCCATTCTCGGTGCGCTTTTCGCGGTGAAATCAGACCACCGTAAGCCGAACCCTTTTGGAAGATCTGTTGCAACCATTATCTTTGTTCTTTATTTATCATGCATTTAAAATGACATGCAGAAGCATTTAACATACTATGTAAATATGGACCTTTTAAAATTAAAATGTTAATTGGAAACGCTTTCAATTCAGCAACAATCTTAGCTATTTGTTAGTTCTTTTGTGTTGTCTTATCGAAGTTAAATGGATTCCGTTCCATAATTGTTGATGTGTCTGTGTGTAAATCCGATTTTTATAAAGATGGTAGTTAAGTCAATACATGTATCCTGACCTGTGTATTATTTGTTTCCAAATTCAGGAAGCTTAAAGTCAGTAAATACCGATATATCGCGTGAGGTAAATATAACAGGTGATTGTGTGGAGCCAAGGTACCTTTTCTTTTTACATTGTCTTGTTTTGATTTTGTGCTGTAATATAAGATCACTTAGCCGCTTATCTGAGCATAACCTTGCATTACCGTTGGTCTGCCCACTTTTGTTAAGTCCTTATACTGATGATTCTAAGGGAGAAACCCTGTCTCTTTTTACCAGAACAAATGTTGAGGGTCCCCCCTCTTTCTGGACAGGCAGCGTCCTACGTAGGTGTCTGTGCCCTTCCCAGTGGGGAGCGGGCAGGGTGGCGGGGGGGAGGGGCTTCATCATAACTACTTTTTATTTGAGTCGTTCTTCTCTTGATTTGTAACAGCCCTGGATAAACCATTGTTTACGCCTGGTTCTGTAGCGTTGCTAAGTTGTGACAGAGCTTGGATCCTGCGCCCAGGGGGCTTTTTTCAAAGAGCGTTTTGCTTAATTTGTAAACGGAAGACTGTTGCTGGAGGAGATTGGGAGAGGTGTCTCGGGGAGAGGGGAGCAGGGGGGCCTGGGACGGGGGAGAGGAGAATTTTGCAGAATGAAGGAGTTGTACTAAGTATAATGAACTTCTCACACACTGACTCTTTTCAGAGGAGTCAGCTGGTCGAGCCGAGAAGCATGCGGGAGGGTGGGCTCGTGGACGGCTCTCGCCGGGGGACAGGAGGGCACCCGCCCCACAGGGAGGTCACCTTTCCGCGGGAGGGCCTTGAGCCCTTCCTCAGGAGGGGCCCCGCGGAGGTACAGAGATGCCCTGAGGCAGGGCCTGGCTCAGAGGGGCTGTTTGCAGAACCTGTCACTTCCGTTCTTGTTTTCTTAAATTTTCTTTCGGCTTGTTGTGGTTTTTTGTTTTGTTCTTTTCTTTTTTTCTTTTTTTCTTTTTTTGCTGTCGTTGTTTTTAATTTCTTTGTTACTTAATTGAAGGTAAGCTCCACGCGCTTCTAGACCACTGGACCGACAGGGACCCTGTCGCGGGCGGTTGGGTTCTGGTGGAGGTCTGGTGCCGAACGCCCGGCGCGCTCCCCGCTCGGTTCCCTAGAGAGCCCGCGTGTCCGGCTGTCAAGAAATGCGTCCCCAGTCGGCCGGTGCTGCCCTCAGCAGATGGCTCTGGGCTCCTTTGCTGTCATAGTGGCCTGCTCAGAGTCGTTTTTAATGTCCCCTCCCTTCCTGCTGGTAGGATTGCTCTGGCTTCACACATTCACTGTTCGACCCGATTTTATTTATTTCCCTGTAGTCGGGTGGAGTGCCCCCCCCCCCCCCCCCCCCCGCCTTGTCTGTTTATTTGGTGTCGGGGGTGGGGGGGCTTGTGAAAGGTCGCCTTGGTTCTTTACCAATTTTTAAGAGGCCTTATTCTAAACGGGAATCCCTGACGGGTGGGGCGGATGATCGCTGCGGGGTGGGGAGACAGCCCTGTCCCCCCGTGAAGGAAGCCACAGGAGCTGAGATCGCTTAGGGGAAAGTGTAGGTATTTTACTGTATTTAATGAGCATTTCAATTAACCTTTTCACCTATTTTTAAAACTTGTGAATGGAGTGTTATTTTGGACATTGGTAAATATGAACTCTCCAAAGGCGGTTAGCCTTGATTTACTGCTAAATCCTAAGGATTATTGTGTAAGGTTTTTTTGCAACCTATTTAATCTTCATCATTTAAAGCGCCCGTGGTTTTGTGTCCTAGAACCAAAGCAGAACTCGCTGATTCATATTGGATCCCAGGTATACCTTCTTCTGGTAGCGTATGGTTGGGAAGGATCATTGGTTTTACACGCTGTAACCTGCCTTTTCTAGAGAATGTTTTTAAAACTCTTAACTCTCTCCCCTGTGCCGGGTTTTGGTAGGAAGGCTTCTCGTCAGGACAGGCAGGTAGAGCAGGCGTCTTCAGTGAGGACTTTTTTCCCTTTTATTTCTGACCAACTAAAATGTAAAAAGACCGTGTTGGTGTTTTGCTGTGTTTTATTTTACTAATTTTAAAACGTACCTAGAAAAATACAGGCCCTTTAAAAAGAAACAACGTAGCCTTTAAATTCTGAGTACGTTGCACAGACTGGACAGGTACGCTATTTTTTTAATATATTCTGTATTTAGTAGTTTCATGTACTCTAGAGAGTAGACCTTGACGTTCTTGTAGCATGGTTTCAACTACTTTTTATCTTAAGGGCACACATAGTGGAAGCTGATTTTTAAAGGTCTGTTTACATTTTATACACTCTGCAGCATTGTCTTAGACCCTACGATTTAGGGGTTTCTAACAACACACAGCCCACTCATACCCTCAGCGGAACAGCTAGGATCGTTTGGTTTTTTTGTAATTCGTCTTTGCTTTTCGCAGGCATGGGGGCCAGGAGTGCTTTTCCTCTGTGAGGATTCTAACTCTCCGTCTTCGCCTTTAATCCCACCGTTTAATTTTCAGGTTCGACAGCAGCCCAGCCCGCAGCCTTTGCATTCCAAGCGGGTTTCCTGTGCGGGGCGTCTCCTTCCTTTTGTGGCCTTGCCGCCCCCCACCCCCTCCCCGGGGGCTCCGGAGCAGCGGCCTCCTGCCTGCCCCCCCCCCCCTTTCCTGTTCTCTTGCACCTTCCTCGCCCAAACCCATCTAGCAGCCACCACAGGGAGCTTCTTCCCCATTCTGGAAAATCACTTTCTCCCCCTTCCTCCTCTCTGGATGTCCTCACCCTCCTCCTACCCACCTGCCTTTGGCCACGGACCTGTCCTTTGCTGACGGTGCTCTATTCTTACTCCTCTGTCTGCTCTTAACATTTAGAATTCCTCCTTGGGGGTGGGGGTGCGAGGTGGCCGTGAACATTTTTGCACGGCGTTTGCATTTGGCGTTTGCATTCGACTGCGTCACCCCCTTTGCTTTGACAGGTTTTCACTCCCGCTTTGTTCCTGCAGGTCTCTGCTGGAGAGAATAACGTCCGGATTCTGTTACTTTGCAGTGTGACCTTGCGGGAGCGTGTGGCGCCCCGCGACGCCGGCCGGCGTCCTGCCGCCCGCGGGGAGCGTGCGATTAACCACCCCTTTGTTTTCACCCCTGCTTTTACAGGACCTCTTGTGCATGAGTCAGTGTTAGTTGTAGCGCGCCCATTTTTCCACTGGAAGCGGCGGCCCGTTTGACCCCGTGTCACTGCTCCCGCTGTGATCCTTCCTAACCGTAATGCGCACGGCAGCGCGCTGCCGAGCTGGCCCGCGCCAGCTCCCGGGTGGAGCCTGACGCTGTGTCTGTTGGGAGTGCGTTGGGAGTTCAGAGACCGGCACGCGACCGAGTTGCTTCCCTGTGGGTTGGCCTGCCTCACGTGTTCTGCCCAACACTGCACTTGCCCTTGTGGGGAAGGACGTCGCCTCGCTTTGCCCCGTCTCGCTGTACGCTGATCACTGTGACGCTTTATCAGGAATCTGTGTGAGGAACACTGGTGACATGGTTGGAAAAATGTATTGTGTGTATCATTTGTGTGACTCCGTACGGAGGCGTGTCTCGAACTGTGTTGTAATTTGAAAGACGTGTTAATAAACTTCCTTGCGGCCTCTGCTTTGGTGCTCCGGTGTCTCCTTTGCCTCGCCGCCCGCGCCTGGTCCGTGCCGCGTCCCAGCTGTGCGGACAGCCAGCCTCCGGCCCTCCCGCGGGAGACCGGGCTGGTGTTTCCCCCGAGGACTGGGGGTGTCCCCAGCGCCCCCCCCCCCGCCACGTGCGCCCCCTCTGCTGCAGGCATCAGCTGGGAAACAGGATCTTGCCAGCGGACCCACAGGAGGGTCCGAGGGTCCGGCTTGTCCTCACCCACACTCTATGGTCCGCAGGAGTTGGAACAGACTCGACAAAAACAAACAGCTTGTTTGGCTCTATTGGAAGTTTGGAAGGGGGGGTATTTTCTTTTTACGTTTTTCAAAAAAATTTTTAACGTTTATTTATTTTTGAGAGACCGAGATAGAGCACAAACAGGGGAGGGGCAGAGACACACACACACACACACACACACACACACACACACACACATGAATCCGAAACGGGCTCCAGGCTCCGAGCTGTCAGCACGGAGCCCGACCGACGCGGGGCTCAAACCCACAAACCGTGAGGTCATGACCTGAGCCAGAGTTGGATGCCCAACCAACTGAGCCACCCCCCCCTTCTTTTTACATTTTTTGAACCATTATGAGTGATTTTTACATCTCTTCAACATTGGTGCTCTGATGCTAATCATTAACACCCAGGGTGGAGGTTACCGGTCACCCCCAGGATGATGCCTGTGACACCCTGTTGTACAGGCACGGGTCTGGTTTGGGGTCCCCCAGTGCACATTGTTGGACATCCATTTTCCATCAAATGCATCATCCGAGTTTTCCATGTTGCTGCAAATTGCTCCGAATTCCTGGTCTGAAAACGGGGTACTTGTAAAATATCCCCCCACCCGGCCGGTTTGGAGAAGGAACGCCTCCCCCGCCCCCTCCGCCCCCTCCGCCCCCCCCCCCGCCCCCCGCCCCCGCCCCCGGCCAGGCTGGGACAGGCCAGGCGCTCCCTGGCGGGGGCCCTGCACTGGAGTCTATGTGGGATTCAGGCGGGTGGCACTGGCACCACTCCTCGCCTGTTGAGACCCGCCTTTCTCTGGTCTGTGGGGAGGGGGCTTACCTTGGGATGAAGGAGCAAAATGGTACTGGTGACCCGCGACACCGTGCCGGCCCTGTCGGCCCCTCAAGTTGGCCGAGGTCTTCGTGCCCTTCCTGGGACACAAGAAAACGGCCTGTGTCCCTCTTAGAGGGACCGTCCCTCTCCAGCCGGGACCACCTGCTGCGGGACTTCAGGTCTAGGTCCGTTCTCCCGGTTCACCTCCGCGTGGGACCTACTCGAGTTCCAGTGACGAAGGCCAGACACGGAACGAATGGACGCGGTGTCCCCACAGGCAGGTGCGGGGGCAGGGGGGCCGGGGTTGGAGAGGGAGGGAGGGCGGCGGAAGGGCCTTGGCTCCTGCCCGAGCACCAGCCAGGCCTCGCTGACAAAAGTGTTACCTCTGAAGACATCTAGGGACGGACTTGATCACCGTTCTCCCGGATGGGAGGGATGCGTGGGAGGAGGCCCGAGTTTGGTTCTGGGTGAAAAGGAAAGGTAAGCGAAGAGGCTAACTTGCGGGAAACAGGAGGAAGGGACACCACAGGTCCACGTGTTTGATTAATTTCTCAGATCTGACTTCCTGGAATTTTTAAGCCCAAATCAGAATCTGAGGAGGCAAAAACCATTTTTTCTTCCATTTTAATTCGTATCCCGTGGGTACATTCTTTGTCTAAAAGCTGGCATTTGCTGTGAGGGGCGGGAGCCCTGCAGGAGCTGGCTGGAAACCTCTAGGCGCGGGTGGGCGGTGGGCTCCCCGGACCCGGGAGACGCCGGCCAAAAGGGTGCTCCTCCCGAGAAAGTTTCCGGCTCCACGCTTGGTCGTCCGGGGAGGGTGTTTGTGCCGGGGCGAGGGGCCGCGGGCGGGGTGTCACCGATGTCTGGAATTTAGAGTGCATGGGGAGTGCCCGCGGGTCTGGGGTTGGGGCCCGGTGGCGGCTGTGGGCCGAAGGAGTGATGGAACTGGGGTCAGCAGGTGGACGGGACAGGGGGGTCGGCAGTGGGGGACCAGCGTTGGTGCAGGGGGCGCTGGGGAGGGGAACTGGGGGGGGGGCGGTGCAGCGGGGGTGCGGTCAGGGGATGAGAGGCCGTCCCCGGGGGGCTGCACAGAGAAACCCCACCTGAGCTCGGGAGGTGGTGCCGCGGGAGGGGCTGTGCTGGGCCCGCACCCTCCGCCCGCGAGGCCCCGATGGTGCCGGGCTCCTGGGCCAGCAGCCGGCCCGGACACCCCCGCCGCTCCCGAGGAGGCCCCTCGGCCTGCTTGCCCAGCCGGAGGGTCCGCAGGCCGGGAACAGGTCTGCCTTTCACCCTTGCCGCCCGATGGCCTCGGGCTCTGGGGTGACCCAGAGGTGGCCCTCCTCTGTCCTCCGGGAACCTGGCCTGAGCCCCCACATCCCTGCGGGAAGCGGAGGTGAGACGGTAGCACCCCGCTCCCCACCCGGGCTGCCGTCTGGAGGCTCAGGCCTCCCCACTGGCTGACCTGGCTCGCTTCCTTCTCCATTACTTGTGTCATTTCCGCAATATGGTCTTTTTTTTAAAAATATACTTTTGTACATTTTTGATTTTAGCGGAAGTGCATGATCGGGGAGGGGGGCAGCGAGAGAGAGAGAGAAAGCAAGAGAGAGAGGCTCTCAAGCAGGCTCCACGCCTAGCATGGAGCCCGACGTGGACCTCGATCTCACAACCCTGCGATCTTGAGCTGAGCTGAAATCGAGTCGGACTCTCAACCAACTGAGCCACTCAAGGCACCCCTGCAATGGGGTCCCTGCGAGATGGGGACCCCCTCTCCCCCTCCCCCTTGTGAGCTGTCCAGGCCCAGGCCCCCTGCTGACATTGTCATTGCCAGGAAGCAGCCCGGTGGGTGGCCGTGCGTCTCAGGGCTGCGCACCTCCTAGGACCCCAGCCGTCCCCAGGCTCGAGGCCCGCGATCCTTCTCCCTCTGCGGGGCCCCCCGCTTCAGCACCCCCTCGCCCTTCTCGCCAAGATCCGTCTTCTGGGGTCACTGCCTTTCATTTTCTTTTCCCCTGGAACTGGGGCTCGTCAGAAAACTCTTGAGTCCCCGTGATCCCGGGCTCGCGTTGCAGCTGGAGGCCAGAGTTGGACGCATAGGCAACCGTGCGGCCTGGCCTGCTTTGAGCTCTGATGGCCCCGAGGGCTGCTGGGAGATCCTCCGTTGCCGTCAGGCTCCCGGGGAGTGTTTCCTGTCCTCTGGCCACACTGTCGACGGCGTCCCCTCTGCTCTCTCTCAGACACCCCGTGGCCTCCCCACGCGTTACTCCCAACAGGAGAGCTCGGGGAAGGGCGTCCCCGCCACCGCAGGCCGGCCCCGCCACTGGTACTGCACCCCCTTCCCCCGCCTGCTGAACACCGGCTCCCCAGAAGTCTCTTCTCCTGAAGGTTTCCTTCCGAGGTGGACCTGTCCCGCGTGCGAACCAACATGCGGTCAGAGCCTCCCTGCGCTTCGTGACCACCTTCAGCTGCTTGCACGATGCTGTCCTGCTTTGTGCGAAACTCACTGAAAAAGCTGTCTTTCTTTTCTTCTTCTCTAACATCTCTCTTGAGGGGCACCTGGGTGGCTCAGTCGGTTAAGCGTCCAACTTACAACGGGTCATGATATCACCGTTCATGGGTTGGAGCCCCGCGTCGGGCTCTGTGTCGACAGCTCGGAGCCTGGAGCCTGCTTCGGATTCTGTGTCTCCCTCTCTGTCTGCCCCTCCCCGCCCCATCTCTCTCTCTCTCTCTCTCTCTCAAAAATAAACATTTAAAAAGAATAAAAAAAAAATAAAATCTCTCTTGAATCCACACCAGCCTGGCTTTTGAACCCAACATCTCCCTGAAACCTCTTTTGCCGAGAGTTAGCGGGCTCCGTGTTGCCAGGGAGGTGGTCAGGGTACACGTCCTCTGTCAGCCCAGGTCGGGTGGCTGCGTTCCTCCCCCCTGGTCACTCCCGACAGGACCCCAGGCGGTCCCGGGGCTCTAAAGGTCAGCTACAGGCCGGCGAGTCCCCCACTCGACCCTGCCCCGCACCTCCCCTCCCCTGAACGGGGCTGCAACCTGCCTTTCTGCTTGGGTGCGTAGCAGGCGTTTCGGACTCCCTGCTGAGCCCCGAGCCCGGGGTCCTTCCCTCAGTCTCCCCCCATTTCAGTAGATGGCAGCCCCTTCCTTAAGGACACCCCAGCCCCAGGCTTCGGGGTCAGCGGCACCTCCTACTAACAAGCACACCGGTTGCCGGGCCATCCCGGTCTTCCAAGAGCATCTAGAATCTCCCGGCTCCGCCGAGACCACCCCGGCGAAAGCCACCGAAGCCTCCCACGCGGGGGCTGAGCCGGCCTCCACGGGGCTTCCCGTGTCCTCCCTGCCCTCCTGCTCTCAGGCACCGGACGCCAGCCGGAAGGATCCCGTAAAATACAAGATCACTGCGTTCGGGGCGCTCCGGGGGCCTCTCGTCTCACCTGGATAAAATCAAAATGCCTAAAAGGCACAGCACGGGGACCGCCATCGACGGCGCCGCAGGGGCGCCGGTGGCGGCAGGTGCCCGTGCGAGGAGCAGGTCGCAAGGTGCAGGCTTGTCCGGGGGCTGCTGGGGGTGCCCGGGGCCGGCCTAGCCCGCTGTCCCCTGGACTGCAGCAGCTGATGAACCGCAGTCCCCCTGCACCCCCTGGCGCCCACCACCCCCCCTCCCCCTGCATCCCCCCGGCTCCGGGGTGGGACAGGACTCTCTCTGTGCTGCCCTCCTCACCTGCTCCCGCTCCCTCCCGAGGAACCAAGCCGCCTGCCTGGCCGCCTCCACTGGGGCTCGTCCTGGTTGCTCGCTTCTCAGAACGTCCGGTAATTTGGGGCTGGACAGGACGTTTTGGACGCCTCATTTCGCGAGTCCTGCAAGCCGGAAGCGTTAGCTTGAAGGGTTAGCCTGGCCCTTCCGACCCTTGATTC